GTTGCCACACCAGAGCCGCCGGCAGCGGGGGAGCGCGGCCCCGCTCCCCGGCTCCGCACTCACTTGCCTCGGCGCCGAGCTTCGCTTCGCTGCGCTACTTGGTCTCCCGGGGTTAATCCTTCGGCCGCGCTCGCTGCCCCGCCGCCGCGCTCCCTATCTGCTTCCCTTTGTGTCTTAGAACTAGTTTCAGCTGGTCACATGTGGACACCACCTCGCGGAGCGCAGCGGCCCCTGACGTCGCTCCCAGCTGACAACAAAAGGTAGTTCGAGCCCAAACTTCGCAGGCTCCGCCCCCTTCGCGGAGAACCAGGGCAGGGAACAAAAGCTCCAGGGGCAAATCCTGCCCCGGGGCCGCCTGGGCTCGGGGAGGGAAGAAACTGTCCCGCTCCCCCCAGCCCGGGCCCGCTGGCTGGAAGCCTTTTCCAAGACCTGGTGGTAAAGACAGTGGCCAGCGGCCGAAGAGAGGTGGTGCCCGGAATCATTTACCGCTTCCCAGCCCATCAGCAAGTGAGGGAGACAGACAAAGCCCAGTCAAAATGTAGCACGGAAGGCCAAGGCAAAGCATGACGGGGGGAGGAGGCTGCCAGAGCCTTTCTACCCCCGTGTCCTGAAACCCCCGTTAAAGCACCTGGTGGAAAAAGTGAAGCTGAAAACCTGTGGCTCACTCAGCTGGGGAGATAGAGGGCTTCACCGCAACCTGTCCCCGATCAGGCACAGGCAGCAGTGACCGACCGTCCTTATCTGCCTGGCTTGTATCCACTCCAGACAGACTCCAGTGGGTCTGTTTCTTTTGCAGTACTGGTCACGCCAGTAACTTCTCTTGAGTTGAACTGAACTGATGGGGAGATGCAAGGGGGATGTGGCAGGGCAAGGGGAGGCTACAGATCAAAGAGTGGATCAAAGGGGCATCACTCACCCCCATAGGACTTGAGACAAAGGGCCAGATCCACCCTTTGGGCCTACCGGCTCCAAGTCCTATCTGTAGACAGTTTGTGGTGGCATCTCTGGGGCATGAGCAAGTTCTAGGAGTGATTTCATTGACTCCACAACCATCTCTTAGGCTCCAATGCAGCCTTCCAGACCTGTGCTGAGCCAGCCTCCCCCTTCCTTCACTCATGTCTCTTTCTCCTGGGCTACAGCACCAGCCCTGTGTCCCTTCTCTCCCTGCTGCACACACACAGCCCCTGCATGCTGATTGAGGGCCCACCCACCACTGCCCAGGATCATTTATATCCTGTGACACAACACAGACTATACAGGCACTATTCCAGCTCCTCTCTAGGCTGACATGGCCCCATGCACAACCATCTCTGAATCTGTTCTAGCTCCAGATCCTTGGATGCATTTCCCTCCTCTGCTCATTTTGGGCACAGTCCCCTTCCCCCCTGAAAAAATTCAGGGAAATAAAAGGACACTGGTGACAGTGATTCTTCCCCCACCCACCTTCCATCTCCAGTGAGGAGAGGAATTCAGGGGCCAAGCCAGCTCTCCTGCTTTGCTGCCCAGCAGACAGCAGGGCTGGTGTCATGCCTAAGGAATGGGGTTGTGGTGGGGAATGAAGTAATTTTTCCACCATCCCCTCTGGAAGGATGCTGCAGAGAGAATTGAGAAGCCACAGATTTTATAAACCACTTCAGAATCTGAACTCTCCAAGAGAGTCCCACTTTTAACTCACACATTGCTGGCAGTTTCCTGAATGACTGTCCAGGATCATGCCACGCTCATTCATGTGTAAGTACAAAGCTCACATGTAGTTACTCTGGCCTAGGTTTTCAAGCGAGGTTGTGGAGTCCCCATCTTTGGGAGTCTTTAAGAGCAGGTTGGACAAACACCTGAACTTTACTTGACCCTGCCTCAGCACAGGGGGCTGGACTAAATGACTTAAGGTCCCTTCCAGCCTGACATTTCTATGATTCTGGCATGATGTCTGGAGCATACAGGGGGTGAAAGAACCTCCAAACCAGAGCTGAGCACATTTCCTTTGCATTGTCTCCTCTCTTTGTCCATTACCCAGACACTAATGGGCAAAGATCCATCACAATAAGCTGGCCTCCTTCCCGATTCATTCAGTTACCCCGGGGCCTCGTGGTGCGTGGTGTCTAACCAAGCCACGACAGCATGGGGAGATGTGAGAACAAGGCAATACGCATCTGAAGAGGGAAACCCCCAAGAGGAACAAGAGTCCTTCAGAGGGATGCAGAGAAAAGCAACAGGAGTGCATTTATGCAAGGGAACATTCCAGCTGCATCTCACCAAAAGCATCTTGGAGACTGGAGAATTGTTTTCCCAAGGGGCCAGGATGAAGAACCCATCCCTGGATATTTAAAATGAGATTGAACAGAGCCTGAAAAGGACAAAGTTCAACTTCAAAGAACAGGAGGAGCTGCCTGACCAGTTGTGGAGAGCTGGTAGGGCTTGCAAGTCTCTAACTTGAGCCCATGGGTATGAATGGTGGTGTAAAAGACCTTGGCTCCTGGTATCTGTGAAATATTCTGTTCCGAAGGAAAGAGCTGCTGGTTTTGCTCAGTCTTTTCTGGACTATGGAGTGTGAGGACAGGAGGTACCAGGCCACTGCAGCAGGAGCCTGCTAGTGTCTCATGCTTGATCTTCTCAACATGCTTAGATACTGAAAATCAATAGTATTTTTCTTTCTTTGCTTTCTCTCGTCCTGCTGTTGCTGCTCCTCCCCTTGGCTTGCTCCCATATTCCCTTGTCCACCTAGGGACTAGAGCATGGTAATGACAGTTTGGTGATTGGGAAGCAGAGTGCATTTGTAAGGATCACTTAATTGCAAGGGAGGGGACAGCCCTCTGCCTGTTCCAAGCAAGCGGAGGGACTCCAAGGGGGGACAAACCCAAGGGCACTTCCCTGCAGCTGTGTAGATAGATGTAATGCAAAAAATCCCACAGAAACAATCCACCACTTACTGGCTTGACTTTTAAAGGTGCCCTGGAAAAGCATGGCATGGGCCCCTAATAAAGGTGGCACTGTTTGGTTGTAACCTGTCCTTGTGAGAACATGGACGGGCAGCCTTGTCTTGGTGGTAGCTGGGATAGAGAGTAGCTGACGAGGGTAATGATTAACACGGCCCATGTGTGCACCCTCCAGCACTCAGCACAGGGTCTAGTTACTAAGAGCTGGGTTTATGTGTGTATTCAGTGGCATACATATGCTAGCAGTGTAGGCAGCGGGCACTCAGGTGTCTTCCATCTATGAGCATACCAATGTACTTGTTATACTTACACACTTCCAACCCCGTCCCAATTCCATCCCCCCCTCCCCATTGGATTCTACAGGAATCTCTGGAGGCCATGTCCTGCAGGCAGGGAGAGTTTCAGAAATCCAGTACCTCTCTGTATGGAACTGCACATTTCTTCCACCCTCCCCACCTCCCACAAGGAACTGGATGCAGAATCCTACAGACTCTCATCAGAGCAATAGGATTTTTGAATTCTCTCTCTCTCTCCCCACAAAAAATATGTCACCAAGGCAGCTGGAAAACTGGTCTCTCTCCTTACAGACAGTACTGGGGAGAAGTGGCTCAAATGCTGAGGGGTCTGGACACTGATATGGAACTATTCCCCTTCACCCCCCCAAAAAAATCCCAGCATGTATATTTGATCACTGAGCAGAGAAACAAAAGGGCTGGTGCAATTTAGCATGCACAGTACCAGCCACAAAAATCCTGCCACTAGCTTAAGAGGGGCTGTGAGTGACACAAGGCTTCCTAGGGGTGGGAAGGAAGTCTGTATTGGTGGAAGAAGGGAAACTTGGAAATTCCAGCTAACCTACAGAATATAGTGGGGGAAGATTACTTACACAGCCTTTGGGGGTCTGAATTTGAGGCAAATAAATTTCCCAGCCCTCACTCTACCTCATGAATGAGCAAATTCTGTGTCCATTTGTAACATCTTCAATAGGCATAGCTCAAAGTACTGTGGCTTGTTCTCTCTATTTTACATAGATATAGACACAGAGATGAACTGTTCACACTCATATGAATGAATCAATACCAGAACTGCAAACAGAACCCACGAAGCCTGGCTCCAAGATTCCCCTGACCCCCCACCTGCAGGAATCCTCACTTCCAATTTCAAAGCAAATCAATTTCACATAATAACAAATAACCCTGCAGCTGCAGAGGACAAGGAAGGTCCGACTATGGGGACACAAACCCCATAAGAACCTGACCCCAAAAGAAAGAAGACAGTGCTCAAAACAACAGGCATAAAATTGGGAGCTCGCAGTTCATGCTGATCCTCAGAGTGGGGGTGGGGAGGGGGAGAGAGAAATTCTCCATGCTACCTTACACTGCATTGTTGGATCACTGGCCAAGTGCACATCAGTGGGGAGGGGTCCTCTGCAAAGAAAGGCATTGGGCCTAGGGAGGGAGGACCTGGTTCATCCTTCTGCACTCCAGGCCAGGGTTTAGAAAGGAGGCATGTTATTGAAGGGCCACCTTAGCTTCACATGAGGCTGGCTAGCTCATTCCTGTAGCATCTATCATCCTTGCAGACTGAGAGGGGGACATCAACAGGCAGTAAAATGTCCTTTTTATTTTAATGGCAAGAAACTACAACATCCAAACTGTCAAAGATGAAAAGTGAAGGGAGTGAAGGCTGCTGTCCAGGCACTTGGCCTGCCAGAGCCACAGTCCCAACAGTTACAAATATACAATCCTAAGAGTCTAGGAGACAGAAACCAGGCACTGCACAGAATCTCCACCCTCTGGTATTACAAAATACCCATCCCCTCGCATAAAAACAAGCCAGGCTTGGAATTGCACCGCAACTCAGCTCATGGACACACACAGGGACACGGGGGAAGTGACCAGCGTGTGTCTGAACTATCAGTACAAAGACTAAGAGAATGTACAAAACGGAGCGGGGAGGATGGGTTCAGGGTGTAAACACTTTCAGGCCAGACTCAGTGTCCCCGCAGAGAGAGCAGCTTGTGCAATTAATGAGACAGTGGGTCTGTCCTGCTGTGGGCTAGCAGGCAGCCCCATCAGGACGATGAGGCCCTTTATCCTGACCCTCTGCATCTGTGCAAGAGGGACATGGAACGTCATCCAGTGGTGCCCAGCAAATGATCACCAGCCTAAACTGGCTCAGAATCACCTTTCTCTTGAATGGACAAGGGCAAGGCCATGATGGTTCATCTGACCCAAGCAGCCTGGCCCCATTGCATGCCAGCGTCTTACTTCCCGGGGGTTGCTGCTGTACTATGTAGTTGGGTAGCACTTGTTTTATGGATGCAGACTTGCAAAACTACCATCTCACCCCATGCATTTGGACAGATGGGTCACTCTGTTCACTTGTACCCTGGGGCACAGCTGGATGCAAGAAAATCTCCCCTGCAAGGATGGTGAGTGCTGGTTGGTTAGCTGTGGGCTCCCCTCCCTCCGTATCTCTGCAGGCCCAAATACCACCTTTGCCTCCAAACCAGGCCATCTGGCTCGCAACTCATCAAGCATTGTGCCTGTGGTAGCCAGGCTTGTTGATTTTTGCCACACAGTTGTCCTCATGTAGGGGGTGGGTGGCTGTCCAAGCAGAGGATGAATAGCCACAGCACAGGAGGGGGACTCCCTGGTAGCAGCACTGATACAGTGCCCAAACAGGCTCAAGGCAGATTACAGCAGCTCCTAATGACACAAGCTCCACCACAACAGGAATAACAGCGGATGGGATGGGGGCAGTACAATTCTGCTTTTCTTCCACTCATGCTGGGAAGAGTGAACTACTGAAAACAAACATGCTAAAAAGCAGGTTTCCCCTTCCCCAGCTCTGTAAACCAAATGAACAAGCTGCCCCTCCCCTCCTGTGCCCCAAGCACAGGCTCCCACAGCCCCAGTGCTCAAAGACCTGCTAGGAGAGTGGAGCTCCCTCGTGCCTTGTTTCTCAGAGCGGTCTCGGTACCCAAGGCTGAAATGAACTCACTGGAAGGCTCTCGCCTCCTGGCTCCTTCAGGGCACACAATGGCCCCACTGAATCTTCATGTTTTGCTGCTTGTGCTCCACATCTGAGTTTCACCCCTGAACTACTCAGCTTCTGGCCTGGAAAGTCCTGCTGCTCCCACCCTAGCATACAGCCAGGTATGGGCCAGCTGGCTACCTCCTTGGTACATCACCCACACTCAGGATTAGGGCTTCCCACACAGCAGAAGGGTTAGCCTTATTATTCTGGAATGTGTGGGGCAGACTTCACCTGGAATTGGGGCCACTGCAGTGAGGAGGCTCCGACTCCCCTTCTTTATTTTTATGTCTATTGCAAAGGTGGCAAACGAAGTAGCTAAGAGCCAGGGAAGACGCATACTGCTGGGTGAGCGCACAGCTCAAAGCAGCTCAGAGTAGACAGGAGGGGCCATGCACAGAGAACTGGGGGCACCAGCCCAGACAAGGAATCTGTTGAGGCAAGGGCATGAAAGCCCCCGAGCAAAGGGGAGGGAAGTATGCAGGGCTCAGTAGGGAGCAAAATGGTGGTGGGGGGAAGAGTAGCAGCAAGGCGAGCCAAGGGACACAGGCTGCTTCTTGGGAAGCATGCTGATAGGAGCTGGGGTGGGCTTTGCTTAGCCAAAGCCCTGGGAATAGATTTTAAGAACTAAGCCTGCTCTGGCCATGGGTCCAGAGGGCTCAACAGGGCATCTTCTATCCCTTACATCTAAAGCTGTGGCTCTCACACCCTGGGGCACTTGTACAGATGCAGGCGCTGGCTCTCGGTATGGGAGCATCTAGTCTATGGTGCACTCCAAACTACGTGACTGCCCCAGCTGTACATTCAGAGGGCCCAGGGCAAGTGTTTGCAATGGGGGTGCTGGTACAGGAAGAACCCAGTACTATGGTTAACTACAAGCTCTCCCCCCAGCCTGGCAGCCTCCCTGCTGCATAAACAGCACATTTTTTTACCCACACTCAAAGCCTGCTGGTGTTCAGCAAATTAGAAACACATGTGAAGGAAGGGGAGCAGGAGATGAGCTTGGAGAGGGGAATCAGGAAAGTGAGGAGAGTGCCAGGAAGAGGAAGCCTGGAAGATCCGGGCACATCGCTGACATTTTGTTGCAGCATCAGGTTCCAACTTCGACCAGAGGACAGCTTGCCTGCCTCCACTGGACATACCAGGGGCTCCGGCCAGCTGTCGGGAGTCCCTTGCGCAGCTGCACCGAGCCTCGGAGCAAAGGGAGGCAGGAGGAGGGGGAGGCGTTAGGTCTGGCTAGGTGAACTCAGTAGCACTTAACCACTCAGGCCCGCAAGCATCCCCACCTCTTCTGCCATCTGGAGAGCCAGCTAGCACCAAGTGCAGGAGCAGAGCTGCTTTCTGAGATTCCCTGGGGCTCTGCCAGGCGTGGTGTGGGCAGGCTCCTGGGGACGAGTGAGGGCAGTGCTAGTGGTGATGAGTCCAGTGCAAAGGCGGCACTTTGGAGCCACGACGGGCTGGCAGGTGGAGGCTGAACGCGAGCACCTAAGGGCTAGAGGCTGTTGAGGGGGCACCAGCCATTACTCCTGCCTACAAGGGCGGCACAGAGTCTCCATCTCTTCCCAGCCATGGAGATGGCTCCTACAGGACGCACAGGTAGGAGAGCTGCAGGAGCAGAGTCCATCCAGTGCAGGGGATATGGAATGTGGTTGGAGATGGGGGAAGGCAGCGAGCCAGGCTCTGAGTCCCAAATGTCCTCCATACAAATGAATACAGCCTCAACCAGGCCTGGGTCAGAGCTGCTGCCACCTCTTTCCCCTCCTCCTGGGACCAAGCAGAGATCCAGGGAGGGGTGGTCTGGACCCATAGCTCGGTGGTCGCCCTCCTGTCCTGCCCACACTGGCAGGACTGCGGGGTAAGGCACACTGAGCACTACACAGCCGTCTCCTGATCTTCCCGCTGGATCATCTGGTAGTGCTGTCGATTTTCGAGGTAGGCAGCCAGGTCAGAGTCATTGGCCTTCTCGGCTCTGTGCTTGGGGGTGTCTCCCTGTGCAGAGGAAGAAAAGCAGAGGTGAAACTCCGAACAGATCCCCAGGAGATCCCGCCCCACAGCCTGCAACAAGTGTGTGTCAGCGGGGCTTCTCTGCACCCAAGGGTCAGCATACGTGAGTCTGTTACAGCTCCAATCACAGAGCACTGAACCTACAGCTCAAGCTGTAGCAGCTTGTACTTTCAGCTCTGGTTGTCCCCAGCTCAGTCCAAGATGGCGGCCACCATGCTTTCAGCCCTTTCTCCCTGCCCTGCCATGGGATGTGCTGTGGGCTGACCATGGGCATAAGAGCTGCTGTCTCTACTCTTGGTGGGTTATCTTACTGTGTGGGGAGAGCTCTCTCGGCCTCTGCTCAGCATGAGTATCACGCTGCTCTTCTTCTATCACACGCCCATGTCCTTCCCTGGCCTAGCAGCTCTGTGCTTGGGGTAGCCCCCTGCCCTGGGCTTCCCCTTTCATGGGAGTGTATCTTGTAGCCTAGTGTGCTGGTTTTCTAATTGTGGGGCATGCACCCTGGTGGGGAGCCCCATTAAGTTCCTGGGAGGATGCGAGGACCTGGCTGCTTAAGAATTTTGTCTTGTTTCCGCTAAATCCTGTTGACAAAATAAAAATTCCTCCCACCAGCTGCCTCTCCTGTTCCAGCTGCTGTTGCCAGGCTGAAAGGTTGGAGGGGCCCTCAACTCACAGACCTCTCCCAAGACTGATGAACAGAGGCCCCCTGAGGGATGTAATGGCTCCCTGCCCCCATGGGCTCTTGTACATGTGTGCCATGGCTCACACCAGAGTCGGGTGCTTGCGGCCTGGGATGATTCTGGTAGGTCCAGAGGCAGGAGCACAAGGAGAAAGGTGCAGCCCACTTCTGTGTCCTGTTGGGGACTTGTAGAAATGCTGCTTTCCCCCAGAGCCACAGGCTGCGAGAGGGCAGAATCCAGGGTCAAACTGCTGCCGTCCATATTTGGTTCCCCACAGGACACGTGGCAGATGTGCAGTGCAATGTCCGCTGGTAACAGATTTGCCAGAAAGGGAGGGGAAGCAGGACTGGAAGAGGTGGGTGCCTTCTGGAAAGAATACTTAGATGTTTGCTAAGAGACGAGGAGAGATGCTAGCTAGATAAGCCCCAGTCAAGCCATTTCCATCTCCTGTGGGATGGAACAGAAACTGTCCTGTGTATCTCCCTCCTCAAGCACGGCACACAAAGATGACCAAAACTGGGGTCTCTAATCATTTTTAACCTGCTGCTTTCCCAGCTCTGTGGAGTCAGACTGGAGCGAGGGGGAAAGAGCTGGAAGGAGGAACGAGGTGTATGTCTGGGGAGAGCTTTGAAACACCATCCCTCCCCTTTGGTACCCCCCCAGTAACTGCTCCAGCTCCTCAAGGAGGCTCACATTTCACCAGCTTATTGCAGCCATCTGGACTGTGTCCACTAATGAACTCCCGCACTCCATAAAAAGCAAATCTGTTAACAGCTTTCAGCTCCATCTCCCCTCTCCTCCCTTCCCCCTCCCGCTCGTTAACTGCCCCAGCTTCTCCGGCTGAACAAACCCTCTGCTGAGCAGGGCCAAGGAAACCTTGGCACTCTGCCGCTTCCATTGAAAACCCCCTCTCCAAGGAGAGTGCAACTTACCCACACTGGCTCGCAGAGCTCAGCAGGGTGATGGCAGCCAGAACAAGGGGGAAGGGAACAAGCTTCTGGGACTACCCACATTTATATTTCATTTGGGCAAACAATGCTCAGACACGCAAGGGTCTCACAAACATGGATGCAGCTGCAGGCACAAGCCCACACACACAGAGGCACAAAGGCAGATAGATGCAAGGCACACACAGCCACTTGCAGTTTGTGTGTCTGTCTGCGGCGTGCGCGCGTGCACCCCTCCCCCCCAGGATCTCAAAGATCTTTCCCCTGACAGGGTTGGAGCTAGGGTGTTGTGTTTCACTGCCCAGTGCTCCTCCACGGGTCTCCTCTCAGTACGCAGAAGCTAAACACTCATTGACCGAAAGGAAATACTAGGTTTCCCTTCTGACTGCATAAGTCCCGATGCTGTGCTGCCTGCTGGAGTTTGCAGACACAGCCTGAAACAAGAGCTGCAAGGGGCCCTCCGCACGGCCCAACTGATTCATGTAACATGATGCAGACCATTCTACCCTGGTTTGCTCTGCCAAACCAGGCAGTGTGGGGGATCAGACTGGACTGTACACACATTACCAAACTGTATTCCAGCTCTGTAAGGATCAGGGTTCACGTATGGGCTTCCAGAATGCGGTTTGTTCTTGTCCTTACTACAGGAAAGTTCTAAGCAGTCAGTGCTGTTGAGGATGCAGGACTTCCTAAACCAGTCACAAGCCCAGACATGCATTTATACAAGCAGATACACCCCAGCAGGCCCACTTTCCTATGCTAGGCAGTCAATTCTGGAACAAATTCTCTTCAGCATGACTCAGAGGGGCCACTTGTCCCCGAGAACTCAAGGTAACAAACATCCGGGCCCTTCTCACTTCAAAGAGGATTCCATGCCCAGAAATCTTGCGGTGCGACCTTAGCAAAACTGCCCTGGCAAAGTCTTCCGAGTCCTCAGCCTACCTTGGTCCCTTTCTCCTTTGTTTCTATGCACTCAACGTGCAGCCACCAAAGCCATTTCTGACCCAGGCACATCCCGAGGCCTGAGCCATTCGCTGGAAGTCAGGAAAGCAGGGCAGCTGCTGGTGAGTATTTGTAAAACATCTCCCTGGCTGCTGGCAAAGGGCTTGATCTTGGCCTAAAGCATTTAAAAGCTTGTACAGCCTCATTAGACTTGGCTCTCCAGGTGAGCTTCTGCGCTGTGGCCCAGCCCCTGGGAACGTCTGGCACCAAGACATGACTGCACCTCTTGGCTAGCCACCAACTCCCCGAGTTGGCCCGGCACCGAGATGCTATTATGTTCCCTGTGCTCCATCCCAACTCACAGCTTGACACTTCTGCTTCCCTGCCACCGTATGCCAGTCCCTGGGAACCTCTTGTATCAAAACATAACCTTGCCCTCTTCGATGCAAGTCCTCTGGCAGAGACATGACTTCATCCCAGTCCCTACGGCTTGGGCCTCACACGCTGCTGGCACCAGGACACAACTGAATCTATTCTGCATGTAAGTAGCGCTGCCTGAGCCACTCGCTAACACTCTGTGGGGCTGTTCCAAAGCATCTCTCAGAGATCCCCGTCCCCACACTTAGGAGAGCTGACAGTGGTGCTGGGCAGGGAATGGTCTGGTGAGACTATCCTTGCAATGACCTCAGACGGTGGGAAGGGGGAAAAAGCATTCCAGCCAGTTGCCACAGGGACAGCAGGCAAGAGCTAGGAGAAGACATATTTAACCCTTTATGCAGCTGCAGGGTTCTGCTCCATGAGGGGAAAGGGCTAGGTGAGACAGACCCAGGAACCCCCTTCATGCAGGGAATATGTGGCACATTTGACTGGGCTCCAAACTCGTGCTCTAATGTTCCCTTCACTGCTCCTCAGTCTTCTCCATCTCTGCGCCAGCCACTCACCCATGCCCCATGTACACCCTTGTTCCTAGCACTCCTACTTCCCATTCACAGCCCCTCTGACCTTACCTGCAGGTCTGTTTTCATGAGTGAAGCCCCAGCCTCCACAATGTAGTGGCAGATGGTGCGCTGGCGCAGGGCAGCTGCCTGGTGCAAACTGGTCTCACCACTGGGCAGAAGAGAAAAGAGAGATTCCCAGGCAAAGTGAGAAGTGACACACACACAGGCTGCGGGGAGGAAGCCAGTCTGGTAAGGGAGGCGAATTCAGTCTGGCCACAGTGCTTCACCAGCAAACCCTACTCCTGCCCCAAAGAACACCAGGGTGGGAGCAGAATTCAGTACCTGGGATTGTGTGGTGGTGGCTGGAGGCTGCAGTGAAGGCAGGTGGTTACAGAACACAGAGGGTCTGGGCAACAAATAATACAAACCAGCAAGCAACTTACTTCTCTTCTTCTGTTGCATCCAGGATCTCCGCAGGGGCTGGGGAGAGAGAGATAATGTAGGGCCATGAGACCGGCTTGCTTGACAGAATTTCTTGCGCACTTCCTCAGCAATGCAAAGGCTAGTCTCTTCTCACACACTTCAGGTCTCCTGCACAACACTGTGGAGACCTCGTCTGGTATGTGAGCGAGTCCCACTCAGCTAGGGAGATAGCTGCCTGGGAACAGTGGTAGGAGCTGGCCATTAGGATTTGGGAGGAGTTGCTGCCTCTGGACCCAAATACAGATAAATGCAAAAGAAAAATCCACCCTCATTCTGGTGAGACCCACCAAAACCCAACCTGTGAGCTGCCCCCTGTGAACTGGCAAAAGCAGGTAACTAGCAAACATGCTTCCCAGAGAGAGGGGTATCAACAGGGATGCTGCAGTGCACAGGCAGAAGATCCAGGCAGCCAAACTCAAAATGCACCAACACACACAGGCCATGTTGCAGCCTCAGTTATTTCTCCGAAGCCAAAGGCATTATACAGGCCTGAGGCTGAACCTGGCCTTGTTTGCCCGCAATAACACATACAACAGGAAGAGGAGGATACGGGAAATTTCCCAAGCCTAGCAGGGAGGACAGAGGTCACCACAAACCCAACAAGGCAGAGAGGGGCATCTGCACACTAGCAGCATCCCTTTGGAGCAGAGACTCATAGGGAGGCTGAGTGAATTTGGCCTCCATCCCTCTGTGTCAGCTCTAGGGGCCAGGATGCCCCCCTCCCAAAGCTGTTCCACCAGCCAGATCCAGGTCCCACTTACCATTCTTGAGGATGTATTTAACAATCTCCTTGCTCCCCGATTTAACGGCATGGTGCAGCACAGTCTGACCCGAGGGGTCTCGCATCATCAGGTCCTCTCCCGCCTGGTGCAGCTCTTGGAACTACAGGAGCATAAGTCAGCTCTGGGTTAACTTTTGCTACTCAGGCCTCTGAGCACCTGAGCAACAGCCGTGCCTGTGGGAAGGCCCTTCCCATCAGACCCTGCAGGGCTGGCCTTTGCCAGCTGAACCTACAGCAAGATGACCAAATATTTCCAACCGTGAAGGGGACTGAACCACTTGCTAAGCTCTACCAACAAGGCTACGGCCGCCTTCATCTAACACGGCATGTGCCAGGGCTCCTCCCTCAACAGGATTTCTTGTGAGCCTGTCTGGACCCCATCCGGCACTGCTCGGGGGGAGCTCACACTGCTAAGGACTCGCCACGCACTGCTGTGAGGAAGGAGTCACAGCTGGGGCTGGCAGGGCAAAGACAGAGCCTGGCTAGGAGGCACCATTACGGTGTTGGAGAAGGGAGGCTCACACCACACTGGGGTTCTAGCTAGCTGCTGTGGAGAAAGGCACGGCACACCCCTAGCTCAGAGGCTGGGCTCATGGCCTCTGGCAGCTCTTACCTTCTGGAAATCATTACTCTTGGCAGCAGCTATCAAAGCATTATCTGCAAAGAGGAGACGCTGGTCAGGATGATAGAAGCCAAGCAGGAGCTGGGGAGAGAGTGCAGGAGAGATTCTCTCTCTCTCCCTGCACATACACTGAGGGCTGAGCTGCCATGTATCCTGCAATAGGGCAGGTGAGGAGCAGCCGCTTTTTCCCAGGCTTCCATTTCAGTCTCTCCTGGGCGTGGCCAGGGCATAAGAGGCCGTTTTAATGGCAGAGTGATGGTGCCCGCCCCAGGCCAGGACACATCATGCACTTCTGGAGCTGCGCAGGGACACTGCTCTCAGCCTGTTAGTGCCTGTACAACAGGAAAACAACAAGGAGTCCCGGGCACTTTAAAGACTAAGCAGTTCATTAGGACTTGCTGTGCACTGCTGAGAGGAAGGAGTCACAGCTGGGGCTGGCAGGGCCAGAACAGAGCTTAGATGCCACCGGACTCCTTGGTTGTTTTGGCTGAAACAGACTAACATGGCCACCCCTCTGGAACCTGTGCAATGGGAGTGGCTGGAGGCAAGTTACTCCAGCACCAGTCTGTGCCGACGCCTTGCTCCAAGCATGAGCAGGGCCAAAAATCTCCCCACCCTCTCCTGAACATCAAGGCGCTGCCTCGTGGCATCCCTGGGCCTGGAATTCCCACGAGTCCAATCCCTTGTGCAAGGCTTGGAAAGAGCAGTTTGGAGGAGTCTGGAGATCAGCAGCCATTGGACAGGTTGGTTTTGCCTGTAACATGGCCTGCACCAGAGGGTCTGTGTGTGTGGGAGAGGGAGGTCAGCTTTATAACAAAGGGTAGCCCTAGGGCTGGGGGAGAGGTAAGGAGAAAATGGGGTAGCTGATGGGATGGGATGTGAGGGGAGAAACACCTGTGGGAGTGGAGGAATCACAGCACATTTTGGGGGCAAGGCTAGGCCCCAGCTCGGACACAGTCCAGAAGGAATGTTTGCAAAGCCCTGGGAAAAGGAACTCCTGAGGTGCAGGGGGAGGAGCAGGGTAAAGGGCAAACGTGGAGGTCCCCAGGGAGCTGGCCAGCTGGGATGCCTCTCACCAGTGATTCACTCACACATTCAGGACCCAGCTCTGTTCAAGCTCCAGGAAACTCTTTCCATTTGCTCAGCTGAGGGAGGCCCCTGACCTTGTGCTCCCGCTCCCAGAGCCCCAACTGGTGCCTGGCAGAGATAAACTCCACCCCCCAACAACACAGCTCCAGGCCTGGGCTCTGCAGGTGGGAGATTAACCTCACCACCCTGTCATTTCCTGCTCTCTGCAACTGGGAGCGCCACACTTCACAAGCAGGCTGGGAAAAGGCTCCCTGCCCTGCTCTGCTCTGCAAGCAAATGTCTATTGGGCTTCTCCAACCGACAGGCTGGGAAAAGGCTCCCTGCCCTGCCCTGCCCTGCTGTGCAAGCAAATGTCTATTGGGCCTCTCCAACCGGTCACTCCTGCTGCTCTCCTCGGGGCACCTCCCCTATATTCTCAGCCCCTGCCACAGCAGGGAAGGAAAATGTGATCCCCCCTGAATGGCTGTGCACGGTGCAGTCACAGCAGCCCCAGGTGAGACCTGCTCCCTCACCACCCCATAGACTGTGTAGTGTCTCAGCAGTGTCATGAGATGCCAGCAGGGGCTGGTCTCTCCAGACTTCCATCACCCCAGTTTTCTTAGATGAAGATAATTTTTGGTTTGTGAGCAGCACAGAATCAGGGCAGAGACTCAGGAGCATCCACTAGTGAGACAGGGGCATGAGACATGCCAGAGGCCTGCTGTGCAGACTGAAAAACTCACCTTCGGGGCAGGAGCAGCCCTTTTCTTCTGAGCTGAAGATAAGAGAAGGAGAGATTGAGAACTAATGCTGCCAAAGGCCATGATAAGCAAGTCTTCTTCAGCAAATTCCCTCCCCTCCCTTCTCCTCCCCACAGGCACAGCCCCTGCTAGCAATCTTTGCTGGGACAGGCCTGGACTGGTTGGGAACTTCTTGTGATGAAGTGGGAATTTTCGTTAATATTTTATGAATCCTCTTTGTGCCTCAGTTTCCCCTATGTGCTGCTCTGGTAAATATGGGGTAGAAAAGGACTGTTTGCTCAAATGTAGATATGGGTGCTGCCTGAATGTCTGGGGCTCGGTCCCTACATCACTGGAGCCTCTGAAAAGACAATGGTAAATTGAATTGAGACCTAGCAATTAGGGATGTGAAGGTTCAACCAGTAAGCCTCACTCTTATGGTTAAGGTTAACCAGTGGACATGGAGCAACTCTAGCAAACTAGCCACACTCAACCGGCCAAAAAGCCACGTGTAGCTAGTGGCTAGTGTGTAGGACAACACAGGGTTAAATGATATGTTTAAATGGTTAGCCAATTAAACAAGATTTTACATCCCTACTAATAATTGACAACCAAGAGATGTAGACTTCCCTGCCTCATGGGGAGTGGAGGTGGAACAGCATATTCCCAGGTCTGGTCCAAAGGATGGGGGAGATTGAGATGGAGGGGTAAGTGTTGGCTGCTGGAGGCAGCCAGGGAGGCTCTCACCTGGAGTCTGACCAAGGACAGAGAGACACAGCTCTTGAACAAGGAGGTTCACTTCAGCATGGCTAGGCTCTGGGCTAACCAGATGGACTTTAATCTTTGGTCTTCTATGCTCACCTAAGGGCTTGCTATGCTTTGTTCCAGATGACTTATAACCCCCCTTTGACAGTGCTGCATGAGTGTTGCTGCACATGCCTGGCAAGGTGCATTAATCCCCAAGACATGCACAAATCTCCTGCTGCAGCTGGATTTGCTAAATGGTGCTCACAGTGCGAAGCAGCAGTGCCACGGACCCAAAGGTCCAGTTTGTGGAGGTGTGTAGCTGTGTGGCCTACCCTGGGGGAAGTGAGACACCCTTTGGGGGGCTGGCACACTGAAGGGGATCCTCCCAGATACTGTTCCAAGGCTGGGATCCTAGCACTGACTCAGCCCCCCTGTCAGAGCCCTGGAGAAGAGAATCACAGAATTAGAAGCCTAGGTGGGAGCTCCAGAGGGCACCTAGTCCAGCCCACCGTGCTGAGGCAGGGCCAAACAAACCTACACCATCCCAGATAAGTGTCTGCCCAACCTGTCCTTAAAAACCTCCAGTGATGGGGATTACACAGCCTCTGTTAAAGCAACAAAGGGTTCTGTGGCACCTTATAGACTAAGTGATGAAGTGGGTCTTTGCCCACGAAAGCTTACGCTCCAATACATCTGTTAGTCTATAAGGTGCCACAGGACTCCTTGTCGCTTTTGCAGATCCAGACTAACACAGCTACTCCTCTGATACTTGACAACCTCTGTTGGAAGCTTTAGTCCACAGCCCAGCTACCTCGAGAGCTAGGAAGTTTTTCCTACTATCTAACCTAAATTTCTCTTGATGCAGATTAAGCCCTTTATGTCTACCTTCACTGGACATGAAGGACAACCGATTGCCATCCTCCGTATAACAGCCCTGAACATATCTGTAACACTTAACAGGTCGCCCCTCAGTCTTTTTTTCTGAAGATGGAACATGCCCAGTGTTTTTAACCTTTCCTCACAAGTCAGATTTCCTAAAACCTTTTATCATTGTTGCTGCTCTCCTCTGCACTCTCTCCAATTCGCCTACATCTCTCCTAACATGAGGTGCCCGGAACTGGACCTAGCACTCCAGCTGAGGCCTCAGCAGCGCTGAGTACAGCATGACAAATACCTCCCATGTTTACACAGGACACCCCTATTAATACACCCCAGAAAGACATTAGCCATTTTCACAACTGCATCACACTGTTATTCGTATTCCATTTGTAAACCACTAGAACCCCCAGATGCTCCTTCAGTAGTATGGCCACTTGGATAGTTATTCCCAATTTTGCAGCAGTACATCTCATTTTTTTCCTCCCTAACGAAGTACTTTGCACTTGCTTTTATTGAATGTCACCTTACTGATTGCAGACCAATTCTCTAACCAATCGAGATTGTTTTGAATTCTCATCATGCCTTCCAAGGCGCTTCCATCTTCTGCCAGTTCGGTGTCATACGCCCATTTTGTAAGAATCCTTTTCACTTTGCTATCCAATCACTAATAAAGATATTGAATAGTGCCAGGCCCAGAAATGGCCTCAGTAGGCCCCCCTAGATATACCCTCCCTGTTTGACAGTGAACCATTGAGAACTACTATTTTGTACAGTTTTTCAATCAGTTGTGTAGCCACTTTATAGTAATCTCATCTAGTCCACATTCCTCTAGTCTGCTTATGACAACGTCACACAGGACTGCATCAAAAGCCTTACTAAAAATCAAGATACATCATGTCAATTGCTTCCCTTATCCACTAGATGAGTAACCCTGTTAAAGAAGGAAATTAGGTTCACTTGGCATGACTGTTCTTGACAAACCCATCCTAGCTATTGCTGAAAATGCTATTATCTTCCCAATGCTTACCAATTGAAAGGCTGAGGGAATTAGCCATGCCTCAGCAACGACACTCATGCCTTTTCTTGACTTGGGTTTCTTTCTCCTGCCTGGCCCATCCTCCATCACCTATTTCTTCCCTTTCCAGCTGTCAGTGACACTTATGCCTATCCCAGCTCTGTGACTCTCATGCTTTCCAAGGAGCCATCTTCCTTTGCCATATGCATTAGCGCTGGCTAACAAGTTCTGGAGTCTGAGTCAACCCTGGGCTTATGCAGCTAAGCTAGAGCCATGGGTGCAAACCTGCAATGCAGTCCCACTGTCCCACAATCACCCCTTGTGAGGGCAGGACACGTGTGGGGGAGGAAAGGGAAGATTGCCAGTCTCCATAGAGACCAGCCCAGCTGTCTTTTGCAGCAACCTGAAGAGAAAATTCTTGCTCGCATGTCACACAGAACTGCTGTTTCACTTTGGAGCTCATGCTTCAGAGCTGCTAAGTTAGGGTCAGACCTCTCAAGCTGGTCCTTCTTCCACTCCTCCCTCAGACTCTTCTCTCCATCCCACCAGGACATTCTCACCTGCAGACGAGAGTGGTCAGGCTCACCTGAGGGCTGGCGAGGAGGGTGGAGAGGATGAGGAAGAAGGGAAAGCGAAATGGTGTCCTGTGGGTATGGAGGACGAGTTAGCGAGGTCAGGCATGGCGGGCGAGGTGCCCACGTTCTGGGTGATCACCAGCTCCGGGTCCAGCACAAAGAGCTCATCTTGGGAAATCTCAGTCACGTAGTTGAGGTGCTCCTGAAAGGCAGAGATCAGCCTGTTGGAGAGGGGATCCACCCACCCCAGGCCAGTCACCCTGGGGAAACACCCCCCTTGCGGCCAGAGCAATACTCTTTGGGGTGATGGACCATGGCAGCTCAACGGGGCTAGGAGTGGGGTTGGGCCATGGGATGGCACCTAGGAGAGCTGCTCATGGTGACTAGCAGGGTCTCCAGCCTCCTGCAGATCATAGGCTGTTTCTAGTTGACTTTTAAGCTGTCTCCCTTTTCCTGGCCAACTCTTCCATAGCCGTGCACATCTCACACCAGGGCATCTCCAAAGACTCCACTGCAACATCCCTTCTCCAAACCCCTGCCCCCATCTCTTGTTAGGACCCTATGCAATCCCTTTCCACCCTTAGCTGTTACCCCAGGATGATGTTTGCAGACTGTCTGCAAACGGCGAGCGCTCCTGAGCCAGACGTGCCCTGCGTGGGTGTGCAAGAACCGCACAGGAAGGGACTATCTCCCTGCATCTTGACGTGAGGCTTCTTGGCTTGGGAGACTCACAGCTGATTCCAGGCGAGGTCTCTCCAGAGCCTTGGACAGAGAGACTGGTCCCTATTCTCTCTCTGTCTCTCACCCATTCCAGCGCTCTGTGTTCACCTCCATTGAAGATCATGGTTTCGGGTTATTTTTCCCAGCTGCAGTATCTACATTTCCCCAGCTGAGTCTCACTAAGACTGCGAGACACTGATCCTACGCCTGGGCTACGCCCCAGCCCCTTTACATCATTCCAGCAGCATAATGGGCCTGGTGCCCATCAGATCTCCATTCTGGGAATAACCCAGGAGAAGATGGATTTTCCAGGGAGTGGGGCCAGCAGCATGTCCCTCTGCTGTCCTCAGGCCATGTGTGTGAGGGAGGAGGGGAGTCTGGAGATGCTTTAAGCTCTAGCTATTGTGGGATGCCATGTAGTCCCCCCTCAGGGACAGCTGTATCTAGGGTGCAAGTTAGAGCTGTCTCTGGGACTCCTCTGCTTATAATGGGGGCTGATTTAGTTTCCAATAGCCTTAGAGTCAAAGTGGTACAGAGGTAGCTAAAGTCAACCTAGGGACCGAGGCTGAAGAAGTTGAAGAGGCACCTGAAGCATCTAATACCAGCTGATCCCAGGAGTGCCTGACTGCACAGGGAAGAGCATCTCTATTTCCTGAGGCTTACAACCTTCCCGGGAAACTGTATCCCCTTGTCCATAACGTGATCACAGGACATGGGCAGCATGGGACAAAGCAGACTAAGCAGCGGGCCTGGTGCACATATGTGTCTGAACGTACGAGCGCTGCTGGCTAAGCAGAGCAGTACAACAGTGCCTTGGTCCCCACCATCCCTATGAACGAGGCTGCACTCACCTGTGCCCGGTCTATCCTGTAAAACCGATCAGCTGTAGTTGCTACAACAGAGAGAGAGAGAAAGAACGTGATTCGGGCCCCCAGAATCTAGCAAGCGACAAGGAAGCAAAGGGACTGCCTATAATCACTGCATCCCACTCTTGGGCAACATGACACGGTTCAGTCACCTTATCACCCCTGAATGAGCATAGACACGTAACCACAGGAACAGAGTTAACTCCGGACCAGGAACAGCCCATCAATGTCTGCAATATGCCCTAAAGACAAGTTGGTTCTCTTCACAGACTACAGACTGCAGCACACAACGTTCCAGTTTGTCTGAGCAGCCAGTCCTCGCTCTAGGCTCTGATCACCTTTTGGAGTAGGCAGAGGCAGCAAGGCAGAGGCAAGCAACACCTGGCTGCCTTCAGCTGTCTGGGGACTGTATAGCAGAGCCTTCCCTGAGCAGGCTGCGGAGATGACAGCCCACCACTGTCAGGACTTGGACCGGGGAGAGATTATTCCTTCTGCTTAAACACACTCCTGGCCACTTTTATTGTGACACAATAGCTGCAGGGACAGAGAACAGCCAAGATGGAGAGCTCAGGCCTTTCTGTTCTCCACTCTCAGGGACTTGGTGCCTCTCACATTTTTCATTCTTGACTATGGCTCATAAACTGGATCCAGGCCTTCTGTATTGTCCCTGGCTTTGATATGGCACACTTCCCCAGAGGCGGGTGGGATGGACATTGATCCCTGTCCCTTTGGATGACAGCAGTCTAAAACAAGCACTCAAAATCCACTCTCCTAGTGGGAGCTAAGAACTGTACTCAAGTGGGTCCACAGTTTGTCCCTCTGTCCTGGGTGCTTGTAGCTCTCTCTGCTGAGCACCTGCTCCAGGGACAGAAGAGCCCTCCCCCCCAACCACTGATATACTGGGGCACGAGGAGCAGAGTGGTCACCTTTGGATGACAGCAGTCTAAAACAAGCACTCAAAATCCACTCTCCTAGTGGGAGCTAAGAACTGTACTCAAGTGGGTCCACAGTTTGTCCCTCTGTCCTGGGTGCTTGTAGCTCTCTCTGCTGAGCACCTGCTCCAGGGACAGAAGAGCCCTCCCCCCCAACCACTGATATACTGGGGCACGAGGAGCAGAGTGGTCACGGCGGGGGGGGGGGGGGGGGAACAGGGGGGGGGCGGGGC